ACTTTTTTCATAATAGGAAAAATAAATAAGCTGCTGGAATCCAATTGCTTTTTGGACCTCTGCATTTTGGTACCATAATAGAATGTACATTGTACTCCAATGGGTAGAAAACGAGGACTTTTTTTTCTAACTAGCCAATAGATGTCACTGCTGCTTCAGAAGAAATCCCATTGATGTAATTTTCTGAGAGTTGAGAGGCAGGTACATGTTCCTACCCCACTCAAAATAAAGTGACACACTCAGAGATAAAGTCGTCCTTTCTAGGCTTATTAATAAAGACAGTTTCAAGAAGAAATACAGGGTCCAGCGGCCAAAACCTTCTCCTCAGCCTCAGCTGCTAATATGGTTACTTTGCACCAGGTTTCACTCTCTTTCACTAAGATCATCCCTATCACTAACCCTAATTTTCTATGCCTGAGGCCCAGTCTCACCTCCGTTACCACCAGAAGATTCAACTTTATAGATGTGCTAGCAGATAAGCTATGCCACTAGCAAAGCAAGGAGTCACACAGCTAAATCAGAGAGAGTTTAGAATGCACAGTTTCAATCACGCGCGCCTATTATATAAAAGCCAAGGCGATATAAAATATAAAGCCACTCTGGCCCATTATATAAAAGCCAAGGTGATAGTGGCAACTGGCCCCTGCTTTCATCATTGCTTTGCAACTATTGTAATAAGATTGAATAAGATTTATGCAGGAAAAAAGTCCTGATGCTAAAATAAAGTTAAATATGCTTTTATTTGCTTAGCTATTCCTATTTCATAAAAGGTATCGTCTCTATTCTGGACATCATTTTGGAACCTTAACTTTCAATGATTTTACTCTGCCCGGCTTAGATATTCACAAGAAGGGACCACTAGGACCATATAGTTTGATCTGCAGCCCAACACAGACCAGATAATTTTATCAGTGCTTTCTATAATGGAGAAAATTGTTACTGCTGTGCAATTTAGTAAGTGTAGATTTAATGAGTCTTCATTTAATATAGTTCTTTCAATACATCTGAGAGCATTGAGGCTCTTAAAGCGGGTAAGGTAACTGAAGAAGGATGATAATACTGTGCATTTACATTGCACCTTAAACTTCAGAATTTCATTATTAAGTCACATACTAAGCCACACCCGGTGAGGTAGGTAACCATTTTGCAGATGAAGAGAGTGAGGTACAGAGAGGTCCTAACTTGCGCAAGGTCACTTAAAGTCTATGGCCATACAGGAAATACCGGAGTCCTTACTCCCAACTATTCTCTTAAACTAGGATCTTCTGTTTGTACTACAATCTATCTATCTATTAGAAATGACGTGTCTGGCTGTCCATCTGTTTGTTTGACCCTGCTATGGGGCCTGGGGATCCATGCCTGCACATTCCCCATCCCTTGCTGTTCCATATGGGTGTGTAGCAATTCCCCCTCCTGCTGTGAGGCTCCTACAGGGCCTAGCAATTTCCCATCCTTTCCCCCACCACTTCACTTGGAACAATCTATCTATCTATTAGAAATGACGTGTCTGGCTGTCCATCTGTTTGTTTGACCCTGCTATGGGGCCTGGGGATCCATGCCTGCACATTCCCCATCCCTTGCTGTTCCATATGGGTGTGTAGCAATTCCCCCTCCTGCTGTGAGGCTCCTACAGGGCCTAGCAATTTCCCATCCTTTCCCCCACCACTTCACTTGGAATGTGGGGATTTCCTTTCCTTCGTCCTCCTCCACCTCGCCAATTCACCTGGAGATTTGCTACCCTTCCTCCCCTACAAGGGTCCTCATGGGTCCTAGGGATGCCCTTCGACCCCCTGCCTCTGTGCAGCTCCTCCTTCAATTTCCCAACAAAACCCAGCCAACCATTTCTTGAGTTGCACTCCTGAGCAATGCCAGGTACATCTGCTAGTGTATAACAACGGTAAAAGCCACTCTTCCCTTCCTTTGTATCTTCCCTTCAGCCCAGCCCCCTTTTCTCTCATACCTCCATTAACGTTTTACATGGCTATAATGAAAAACCTTGGCTGCTAGCTAGGTTAATTGATCACTGACAGATGCACCTACCCAGGGACAATTGGTGATGGGAGACATGGGGGGCCATCAGCCATGTGTCCACCCTGCCCCCAGCTGGGGAAGGGCTGGGACATCTCTCCTCCACTCCAGCTCCACCTCTCTCCACATTTGCTCTCCTCCGCCACTTCCCCAACCCCCGTTTCCATGCAATGTGTTCTGGGGGACTAGTGGGGTCAAGAGTATGGCATGTCTGTGGGAGTCCAGCCCCTCCCCACACACCAGCAGCAGTGGGAGAAGCAGAACAACATGGCCCCAGCGCTCTCTGCTTCCCCAGCCACATCGCTCCACTTCCCACTGGTGAGAGTGGGGGTGGTCCTGCCCTCCCTTCCCCATACAATATACTGGGAGAACAGTGAGCTGGGGCCGAATTGCTCTGCTTCCCCCACCATTGCTGATAAGTATAGGGGGGAACTGCACTTTTCTGTGGAAGCCAGCCCACCCTCACTCTCGCTAATGCACCTGGATGCTCAGGGACTGTTCCCAGCAGCTGCTGGCCAGCACCTTATATGTGCCCCCATGTGCCACTCCTGCACCCGCCTCCTGTTTGTCAGTCAGGAACCAGTGAAGTCACTCGTGGCGGGCAAACATACCAGAATAGCAGTGGAAAGGACAGCCACTTTTTGAACTTCATACTAAATTTTGGTGATATATCTGAAAATGAGGTCATTCGTCTTCCTGATTGCACAGTATGCATAAATATGTATCACGTACACGTATCTTTCCAGTATGTCTTCTTCATGTTGGCTGGGGGTGTGCTTCCCAGCTCCAGTAGAGATATGCTAGCTCTGCTTGAGCTAGCACACTAAAAATAGCACTTTGGCTGCAGTGTCTTGCTCTGTCTGCCCAAGTAAATACTGAGGGGGTTGGGCAGGTTTGTAGCGGGGCAGCTAGCCCAAGCCATTGCCCATGCTGCTGCAGCCATATTGCTAGTTTTAGCCTGCTGGCATTACCAGAAGCAGTGTATGTCTGGCTGTTTGTGCTGGAAAGCACCCTCCAAGCTACTGCACAAAGAACTGTAAACAGCTGTTGAAATAGTCTGGTCATTGTATTTATAGAAATGGATAGCACAGAAGCAGAGGGTCAGAAACCATCTCAGTACTGGTGGCAATCGCCTCCCTGAAGGGATGAGTAATACACGAGATTCTCTTTATAGAGATTCTTTCACACATTCCCATTGGAAAGGATGTACCCTTGTCATAGTGTAATACGATAGTCACATAAAATATAGTCAGAAATGCTCTGCACCCTCTGTATGACCTAATTTTGGGGCAATTGTTCTGGTACAAGCAGACTTATCATATCTACCACCATATACGCATTCTCTGAGGCAGTGGTTCTCAAACTTTCTTCATTTGCAGACCCCTACATTTTTTTTAATGGAGGTGCAGACCCTTTTGGAAATCATAGACATAGTCTGCATACCTCCGTGGACCACAGGTACGAAACCACTACTCTAAGCTAAGGAATTATATTGTATTGTCATCCTCTGACCTTTAATATGTATTTAAATGCACTCAGTGGGGCAGAGTTCATTCTGCTGTGTGGAAGGGGAAGTCTATTTCTGGGCATCAGAGGTAAACTGTAGATATAGGGGGCAAAGGAGTCAGCCAGTGCATATACAAGTGCCAGATTGTTGGTGTCACCTCAGACTGCAAGCCTCTTCAGTCATTCCAAATCAAGCTGTTTGTTTTCTTGGCACAAATGTTCCATTCATAGCTTAGTTCAGGAAATGTGTAATGGCCACTACAGTATGGCTTGGAACA